TTCCGCGCCCCCCCCGCAAGGCGCGCGATACACACACAAGCTGACTGAGTGAGCAGCTGCCCCTGCTCCTTCTCGGCTTGGCCTCGGCCTACCTGCACCGCAACCGCGCGAATCCAGTCACCTATATAATAAAAAGAAAACCAACGAAAGAAGGGAGACGCACTTCGACGGTTCCGGCGCTCATGGAAATTCCAATCGAGAGCTCGCTTTGTCACGCTACGACCGACCGATGGCCCTGCTGCTGCTCCGCCTCTCGGCCCAGTCCTTCAACCAAGGCGACACCGGCGGCTTCGTCGCGTCGTGGCCCCAGCTCATCGCCGACTCCTACTCGGCGCCGCTGCCCGCCGCTCTCGAGCAGCAGTGCAAGGGCAAAACAGGCGCTGCAAGCTTGTCGACGGTCAGGCTCTCGAGCAGCTCTGGCGCAGCGGCGGCGCAGGCGGCCTGTGGCTCGCAAAGCCACTGCGTCGTCCCGCCGGGAGTCACGCTGACGATGGATGGCTCTCTCGACGTGGGTGCGCTGACCGTCCAAGGCACGCTGCTGTGGTCCGATACGAGCCAATCGGCGGCGGAGCAGTGGCTCTGTGCAGGTTTCGTCGCCGTCGAGACGCGCGGCGTCTTTGAGCTCGACGTGACACGCGGCAATGCCTTCATCTTCATCAAAGACAACGGCGCGGCGCATCCTGACCTCGGCGTCCGCTCGTTCGGCGGGTCTGGCGTGCCCGGGCTTCCTTGCCTGGACGCTGCCGGTTGCGGCGACGGCGGGCCGCGGGTAGTTGTGCGCGGCCGTGCGCTGCCACGCACCTGGTCCCTTTTGTCCTCGCCCCTCCCCGCTGGGTCGGCCGTGATGCGCCTGCTGCATGACCCAGAGGCAATGGGGTGGCGGCTCGGCGACAGAGTCATGCTCGCGCCGACGGCACGGCGCAGCTCCGCGGGAACCGCTGACGCCACGTACATCACCGCGTTCGCGCCCGACAACGGCGTCGTCCTGGCTGCCCCGGTGCGAGAGTCGTATGCCGCCGATCTGAGCACAGCCGGAGCCGCCCTGTCCGCCGAGGTCATCATGCTGAGCCGCTCCGTGGTGCTGACAGGGGACGACTTCCGAGAGTCCTCCCCCTGCCCCAGCGGAGCCAACCCGGGTGTGCCGAGCTGCACCCTCGGGCTGCATACGGCCATGCGCCATAGCGGGGTGATGCAGATGGAGTACACTCGCGTCGAGAAGTGCGGCCAGCGCGGCCTCCTCGGCAAGTACTGCCTTCACCTGCACATGCTCGGCGCTTGCCCAGCCTGCCTCTTCAAGGGCAACGCCGTGGAGTTTGGAGTGCAGCGCGGCCTCATCGTCCACGGAACGCACCTCTCGACGTCGAGCGAGAACGTCCTGGCCGACGTTCGAGGCGCGGGTATCTATCTCGAAGACGGCAACGAATGGGGCAACGCCGTGAGCTACAATGTCGTCATCTGCCCCTGGTCGAAGAACTCAGTCAAGCAGGGTTGCACCGTGCCCGGCACCGACAACGGGGCGGGAGCAGACACGGACGGGAACCAGGCGGGCCTCTGGGCGCTGGGTAGCGCCAACCACCTCATCGGAAACCGCCTCGCCAACGCGTACAACGGCTTCTTCATCCAAGCGCAGTTTGCGTTCCAGGGCCGCGGCGCGGCGCAAGGCCGGCTCTGTCTTCCCGCGCAGCCCTTCGGCCGGATCGAGGGCAACACTTGCCACGGGTCCTTCCGCTTCGGGTTTTACATCGGAGGCCCCAACTTCCCGCGACACACCGACGAGAGTCCCGCGACCAACGGGCTGGTCGTCGACCGGAGCAGCTGCGTTCCGTTCGATTCGGCGACAGGCAGCGACCGAGGGATGCCCACGCGAGTCGTGCGCAACGTCGACTGGGCCAACGCCTTCGTCGGCACGTACAACATGGGAGACGTGCAGTTCGAGGACCACGTTAGCGTCGACAACCAAGAGGCGATCTACTGGAAAGAGACCAAGAGCTTCGCTGATGGCTGTGCCGCGCACGTCAAGGGCGGCACCTTTGTCGGAGGAAACATGGCGCTCCCGGATGGGACGGCCTTCATCATTGAGGAGGCCGCGTTTCGAGGAGACCTACGCTTCGAAGCCAACCACCACTGCGGCGAGAATGGCAACACGGGGGCCCTCTGCTCGCCGACGTACATCTTCCACAAAGTCTCCTGGCAAGTGACTAGCAACCGTTGGCTGTACTTCCGCCCTGGCAACCAGTTTGGCGGCGTCTTTGCGCTCTCGCCTCCTGAGGCGGCGACCGGCAACCCAACCGGCAACATCTTCCCCCCTGGGTATGTCGCGCTGGCTTCCGCCACCTTCTCATACCTCCTCTCTGTTGACGGCGGCACCTCTTGCGCGACCGCCGCCTCCCTCGGGGTTCCTTCGCGGTACGACAATGGCGGCAACATCCTGTGCAAGCGCACCCTCCGATCGG